GGACCCACCCCAGCTCTACTATACTCACCCCCCCGACTCTACCGTGCTCACCCACCTTGGTGAAGCAGGATTCACCTCCGAGTCTGTCTAGCACCAGAACCCACCCTTGTCCCCACACTCAGAGGCAAGAGCATCCATCAGACACCAGCCGTGGTCTCTGGCTTAGGTGCAGGGCAGAGGGGGGGCTCACTCTCTGGAGAATGCACTGTCCCCCACGGGGGTCTCTGCGATTGGGCTGATGAAGAACAGCTGGTGGGGAGCTCTTCTGACTTCAGTTCATTAATTCTACAGGGTCGTGTTTGTCACCTTTTTTGTGTTAACAATGGGGCTGAGAGAGCTTGAGATGATTAGATCACAATGCTTGCCTTCCAGAGAGTTCCCTGTGTAGCAGGAGACCAACCTCCAATTAGGTGAGCTTCTGGATACGTCACCTGACAGGGCAAAGAGACTTTGCAGGTATGATTAAGGTTAAGGATCTTGACATCAGGGGCGACTGGGTGGTGCACCAATTTAAGTGTCCGACTCTTGGTTTTGGCTCAGGTCATGATCTCAGGGTCGGGAGATCAAGCCCTCGTCGGGCTCCATGCCCAGGGGGGAGTCTGCTTGAGATTCTCTCTCTCCCTCTGCCTCTGCCCCTCCCCACCATGGGCTCTCTCTCCCTCTCTCAAATAAATAAATCTTAAAAAAAAAAAAAAAGGATTTTGAGATCAGAGATGATCCTGGATTATCCAAGCGAGCCCAGTATAATCACCAGGGTCCTCATAAGGGGGAAATGGGAGGGTCAGAGAGAGGTTGGAAGATGCCACACTACAGGCTTGGGGGACAGAGGATGGGGCCACGGGCCAATGTGGGCACCTCTGGAAGCTGGACGAGGCAGGAATACAGTGAACACCTTGGTGGTAGCCCGGTGAGACCCGTGTAAGACTTCCAACCTCCGGGCCTAAAAGGGAATAAATGTGTGTCCTTTCAGGTTACTACGTTCGTGGCAATTCACTAAGGCCACCATAAGGAAACTAACACAGGGACAGTAACTGCGCACAGGGAGCAGGGTGTGAGAAGGGGCGCAGGGTGGAGGGGTGCTGGGTGGAGACCCGGTGCACGGCAGCGGCCCCGGGATGGGGTGGTGGTGGGGGGGCCAGGAGCACCTGGGGCTGCTCTCTCTTCCCTGCCCAGAAGCTCCATCCAGTGTCCCCCTTTTCATCGTTTGCATCCAGTGATTTGATGCAAATACCCATTGACCTGGCCCACCCCAGAGAGAGGTGAGGGGGCACAGGTCTCACCCCAGACCACAGCAGGTCCCACGGCACAGGGCAGCGGAGGGAGGGCCTCTGCCCAGAAACCCAGCAGGGCCCTGAGAGGTGGCCACTGACAGAGGACTGGAGCGTGGGTTAACTCTGGGGTCCAGGGGCCCAGGGGCAGCAGCTGCGGACCGAGTCCAGGCGCGTGGGGAGGGAGAAAGTGCGGCTTGCTGCCCTGGCCTGAGCCCCCCTCTCTAAGATGTCACCAGCAGAGTTTCTGTGGCCTCACCACAGTCCTGCTTCTGCTGTGGGCGGTCAGAGGAAGACCCTAGAGAAGGGTGGGCCCCGTGGGGTGGCCGGAGCGCTGGCTGCAGGTGGGCGTCGGGGAGAGGACCTGCGGCCCTCCGTGAACCCCGCAGGTGGCAGGTGGACGTGGGGGCCGCAGGGAGAGGCCAGAGAGGCTGTCAGCCAACGTAGGAGTGACAGCCACTTGAGTTGAAGAGAGGCTGTCATTCATCAGTCAGCGGCCAGGTTTTTATTAGGCACCACTGTATCCCGGACCTGTGCAAGGCTCTCGGAACCCCATGAGGAGAATAAGCCGATCGGGTCCCACCTCCCGGAGCTTGGCAGGCCACTGGGGAAGCAGACAGGAGGAACTGTGTCTTGGGACGGGTGCCCGCGAGGCGAGGACGTGGTCTTGAGGGCACCCGGGAGGGAGGGCTCCGGTGGAGAGGACCGTTGGCTGAGACCCAAAGCAGGACTGGGTTTCATGGGAAGGCCCTGGACCCAGAGGCTCCGCCGCCCGCCCAGCCACGCCAGCCCCTCAACCCCCCTTGGACTGACTGTGCCTGTGGCGGCTGGGACCCAACCCTCTGCATCACCAGCTGGGGACCAAGAGGGAGTCACAGCTCGTTCTTTAAACTCTTAGTTGTATTTCTCATAGAATGCATGTCAATTGTTATTCTCATTTGTGTTTGTCCTGATAGCTCTTCATATACACTAAGTACGTTCATTGAACTCACCATAATAATTTTATATAGGGCTAAACCGTAATAGACGTGTAAAAAGGGACACATTTATACATGCAGTGCTGGTTGTACCCTCACTCCGTGAGCACGCCCCTGTGAGCAGCGACCCCCGACGCTCGGCCCCTGGACTGTCCCGAGATCACCAGTGACCCTGCTCTCACTACACCCCCAGGTTGAGAGCTGGCAGGTCCCCACCTAAATAAAGGACAGAGCTGTGTCGTGGATGAAATGCCAAGCTCCTCTGAGCGAGCCCAGAGAGGCTGCTCTTCTCAGCCAAGCAGGTGCTCCGCAGAGGCGGCTGGGATTCGGGCTGGCCAAGCACAGAGCTGCCTGAAGGTAGCCTCCCTTGGTCGATCCTGATGGTTCGCATTCCCATCAGATGTGCTCGCTTTCTTATTCCCTGCCTGCTCTCCTCAGGCCTCTCCTTCCTCCTCCCAGCTCTCATCCCCCACCCCCGCGAAAGCAGGGGCCTCACCTGTCTTGCTCACCGCTGTATCCAGAGTCTGGAACCCCGGCACCTAATCCATACACCCTTCATACGTATTTGTCAGATGAATGGCAGAGTGAAGTGGCCCCCGATTTGCTCCCCTGTGGCCCAAGTCTTCCTGGGGACAGTGATCTGTACGTCTCCAAGCCCCAACATGGAGTCTGAACCCAGAGTCAGGGTGACTGTTCGCAGAGCGAGAAGCTCTCAACCCTGACTCCACCACACATTCGTGCTTGTCGTCTTGACTTCTGCTTTACCCATCTGTGAAATGGGGATATAGTGGTCTCCAACAGGATACCTGAGTGGTGAATTGTAAAATCTCGTGCGCATCCCCTGAGTATGACAGGGCCTCTGTGCTGGTAGGAATAAGTGCTCAATAAATGTGTGCTGAAGGAAAGCTTAAATGTTCAATGTCCATTCACTCAGGTGCCATTCAAAACACACACCGTGGGTCTCATAGATGCCAGAGCCAGCCCTGTAGCCTAGGGCACATCAGCCCCTGGGGTGGCCTGGCTGCATGAAGGGGCACCCCTCCTTTGAGTAGCCCACCTCCCCACCCCCAGCCTGGAGCCTTTACTCTGATCTCTGGAGTGCAAACGTGCTGACATCCTTATGCATGAGGCTTTGGGAGTTAGAATCACTCTTCTGGGGAGTGTGTCTTTGTGCACCAGGAGCTCTGAAGAATTCATACCCATTGACTCAGAAGTTCCCTGTCTGGGAGTCTGCCGCAATAAATAAAAATGCACATAGAGGCACATACATACACCCAAACGCAGGTATAGGGTGTTGATCAGTGCATTATTTTTTAAAAAATTTTTTATTATTAACATACAATGTATTATTTGTCCCAGGGGTACAGGTCTGTGACTCCTCGGTCTTACACAATCCACAGCGCGCACCGTAGCACGTACCCTCCCCAGTGTCCACCACGCAGGCACCTCATCCCTCCACCCCTCTCCCCTCCAGCAACTCCCAGTTTGTTTCCTGAGATTGAGTCTCTTATGGTTTGTCTCTGTCTCTGATTTCGTCATTTTATTTTTTTCCTCTCTTCCCCTATGATCCTCTGCCTTGTTTCTTAAATTCCTCGTATCAGTGAGATCATATGATAATTGTCTTTCTCTGATTGACTTATTTCACTCAACATAATACCCTCTAGTTCCATCCACATCATTGTAAATGGCAAGATTTCATTTTTCGATGGCTGCATAATATTCCATTGTGTATATATACCACCTCTTCTTTATCCATTCATCTGTCGACGGACATCTAGGCTCTTTCCATAGTTTGGCTACTGTGGACGTTGCTGCTATAAACTTTGGGGTGCACGTGCCCCCTCGGATCCCTACATTTGGTAAGGATTACCTACATTGGTAAATACCCAGGAGTGCAATGGCTGGATCGTAGGGTAGCTCTATTTTCAACTGTTTGAGGAACCTCCGTACTGTTTTCCAGAGTGGCTGCACCAGCTTGCATTCCCACCAACGGTGTAGGCGGGTTCCCTTTTCTCCGCGTCCCTGCCAACATCTGTCGTTTCCTGACTTGTTCATTTTAGCCATTCTGACGGCATTATTTATAAAAGGAAAAAAACAAAATTTCTGAATCTCCAGTTGTAGGGGGATGGTTAAATTGCGGTTTTATTTGTGGTAGAATAGTATACCATGGGTAAAATGGTGTTTTGATGGAACGTTTACACAAAATTTTATATAAAACCACGTGTGTAAACATGTGTTCTCTCTGTCTCTCTCTCACACACACATACACACACTCACATTGAAAAAAGGTGCAAAAGGAAAATATCTGTGTTAACAGTGATTAACCCTAAAGCAGTGAGGCTCATTCTCACTTTTTCTTTTTCCTCTTTTCTATTTCCTTAATGTTCTGTGCTGAGCGTCGTGACTTTACAAAGAGAAGAGGAAGGAAGGCATTTTACAGCCCATGCTGGGGCGGAGGGCCCGGCCGTGAGAGGGGGTCTGTAAGTCCCAGAGACTGCCCCAGCTGTGGATGAGCGATGTGCCTCAACGCTTCCATCTGCGAAATGGGCATGGGGGTGTCTGCCTCCAAGCGTTGCCATCTCTACTAATTTTTGTAGCTTAAAATAGGAACTGTCCATGATAAGAAACAGAAGGAGAGCCCTGTGAGATGCTGTGTCTGAGCACAGGGTTGCTTGACCCGGCAGATGTCCCTCTGGAAGGCGGTTCCTCCCGAGCCCGGTGTGCCCAGGTTAATTCTCTCTCTCCCTCTCCACAGCTGCCCATGATGGGAGGTGCCTTCATGGACTCGCCCAACGAGGACTTCAGCACGGAGTACTCCCTCTTTAACTCCTCCACCAACGTCCATGCGGCCTCCAACGGCCAGGGCCAGCCGGAGGAGCCTCCGCGGTCCTCCAACGACGCAGTCTTGCTCTGGATTGCCATCATAGCGACACTGGGGAACATTGTGGTGGTTGGGGTGGTGTACGCCTTCACCTTCTAAGGTTCGGGGCGCCCGCGAGCTCCAGGCCGGCTCACCCCGTGCTGGGCTCACAGCAGGGCGAGGCCTTGTTCGGGGCACCAGCGCTGTCGGCCTTTGGCTGTGCCCACCTCCTGGAACCAGGAGCTCTGACCATGTTGCACGGCCTCTCCAGGGGCAGTGACTGTGCATCAGAAATTTCCCCCAAGCAGCCCTGATTTCCAATGTTCTGTGCTGTGGTCAAGCTGAGCCAGAAAACATGGGAGTGTGAGCTTCCAGCCCCTGGAGGCGTGATGGGGCAAAGCCTTCACGAGGAGCAAATTGGGGAATTTTTTGAAACCGTATTTCAATGACGTAAGACCAGAAGAAACAGCCGGTTAGGTGTGAAATATGGACATGGGGTTACAATCGCTTGCTGGCCGTAAATAACCACATATGTGTCTTGTTTTTATGCCAACTAACCGCACCTGGTGTGTGAGGTGCCGGGCGAGAGCAGCCCTCAGTACTGGAGCGTTCCCAGCCCAGCCTTGGTCTCCCATTCAGCCCTTTGGAATAGGGTGGTGGTGAACTGGGCCATAGAACATTCCTCGTTTGACTTGGACAGGGCATCTTTGTCACCAGACACTTGGCCCCTTTTGAGACCCAGATGCATCGGGAAGTCCAAGGGCAGGCGGATGACTGGTGACGGGGTGGGATTTCCATGGGTAGGGGGTTCTCTGCTGGACGGACTTGCTCTTCTTTTTCAAAAGGGAAGAAGCGCCTCTAAACTGTGGATCTGCCATGTGGTCAAGTCTTCAGACCAGCAGCCAGAAGATGCTCTTTCCTCTCCGAGAAATCTCGGGATTTTAGAGATAGCAGGCTCACGCTCACCTGATCTTCCGACAGCTGGGAGGGAGAGGCGCGGTTTGCCATTGATCACAGGGCAGGTGACTGCACCCGTCAGAGCAGGAGGGACCAGGAGGGACGTTTCCTGACTCAGCCGGGGGCTCTCTCAGGCCCAGTGAAGTACTCTCTCAAGCAAATCCCTGCTTCTCAGCTGCCCTCGGGGAGAATGCCCCGAGAAAGGGTCTGGAAGCTGTGTGCCAGGGGGGCCAGGTGCTCAGACACCTGCATTTTACACGGGGTCTGGCTCCCGGGTTCTCTTGCAGGCATGAATGTGCTCTGTCCGAGTCAGCCTCCTTAACCTTCCTCCAAGTCAGTGGCTGTGGGAAAGGGGGTTCTGGCAAGTAAGGGAGCCTCCCGAGCAGACCAGCACAGGATGGGATGCGCTGGGGGAGAAGGACTCGTTCTTCTGTCTTTAGGAAAGGCGCCTGCATGGTACACCTCCTTCCCCATATAGCTCCCCTGTGCCGAGCAGAGTGAGAGGCTCACACGCAGGCTCCCTCGCTTGCAGGCCAGGAGTGGCTTTCTCTGTGCTTTCTCCCCGTGCTGTGCAAAAGAAAATAAATGGTCTAAACTTCCCCTCTGTGGTGGGGAAACTGAAAAGACTGGGTGGGAAACCCTGGTGCTGTTTGGGGACAATTGCAAAAAAGGTGATTGTGTCCCTGTGGTCTCAGGAGACATGGCTGTTCCTGGATGGCAGGCACAGGGACATCTTAATTGTCCAGAGGCAGCCACTCGTCTGCGAGGTTGGCGCCGGGCTACTGTGCCAACAGGATCTCCAGCCTGACCTCCAAACTGTGTCCGCAGACGGCCACCGGCTCCTCTGAGCCACATCTGTCACTGCAGCCATGCATGCATCCACGGCGGCTTTGGCTCAAGGGGAGGTCGCGAGTGCAGTGCTGATGACCTTTGCAGAGAGGGAGAAGGGATGGGGGACCTTTGGCCTGGGCTCCTTCTGGAATCACTGACAGGGCCGTGCTCTCAGCAGGACCAGACCGGGGCGGGGGGCGGGGGGCGGGAGGGGGCTGGGCTGGGTGGTCAGCTGTTACACGCCCATCATCCCCGCTGCTTCCCGAGCAAACTCTTCCCTGCCTCAAGCCCCCATGTGTGCCCTATAAGCAAGGGCTTTCTGAGACTGGTGTCTTCATGAGAACCCAAGGAGGAGGTTGAGAGCCGGGGTGGAGAGGAGCCTAGGCGATGCTTGGTGTCTTTGTGGGGGCCACTACAGCCCAGATATTCTGAGTCCTTACCTTCTGACCCCGCATCCCCAAAGGAGCCCTGTAGAGATGTAGTCGGCAGCTCCCTGTTCTCCAAATGGCCTGCGGCGATGGCAGTGGGAGCTCTAGAGTGTTCTGTGTGCCGTGACTGGGGAGGGAAGGAACGTGTGGTCCCAGCTCTGAGTATCCAGGGCAGCCCCAGCGGGCTGGGGATTCTCTGGGTAATTCTGGGCGCAGGGGTCTCCCCCACGAAGGCTTTCTCTTCCCCTGGCGTGAATGCCAGTTAAATTCAACTTTCAAGGAGTTCTCCCTCTTTGGTCAGGGCCACAGACACAGGGCTTGGAACCCTGGGCCATCTTGTCCAGACTTTACCTTGGGCGACTATAGTGACTTGCTCAGGGTCACTCCATCACAGTCTGCTACGGTGTTTTGACCTGGTTTTTGCTACCATCACTTAGATAACAACGAGGATAGATGTGCACGTGAAAGTCCAGTGAAGGGTAAAGGACAGATTTCCAGCCAGAAGGTATGCTGTGCTGTCCCTCCTGCCTTACGCAGCTGGGCTCTGTCTTGGATGTTAGGTAACAGGCAGGAGGCACCATCTGAGCATTGTGTCCAGGCACCGTGCTGGGCCCACATGTGCGTGTTTAATCTATACGATCGCCTTACAGCATCCTTGCTCCAGGACATATGGAACCAGAAACTCAGGGGAGTGGAGTAACTTGCCCGAGGCCACACAGCATGAAAGTGACAAGCTGGGATTTGAGTCTGGACCCTCCAGCTCTAAAACCAGCCTCTTTCTGCCACACCATGCTGTCTTCAGTGGCTGGGGTGGCACCTCCAGGGCACATTTAAGCCAGGCTCTGGGTCTACAGAGGCCATTCCTTGAGGCCCCATGTCGTGGTGTGGCCCGGGCCAGCTCTGGCTTCCTCCACAGGCAGAAGTCTGACTCTCCTCAGAATAGGGCAGGCTCGTCCCCCTGCCCATTGCCCTCTCTCTGTCCAAGCTTCAGGGATGGTGGTCCCTGTCACCTGCCCCTCTCTTTTTAAAGCCGAACACAAGTGTGTTTGTGTGGCCAGAGACGTTACCGGAGAGCGGCTTTCTTGGGATTCATGCCGAAGGACCCTGGCCAAGACCCGGAGCCCAACAAAGGGGCCCGCACAAGGAGTGAGGCTCACGCAGCCCGATAGCCGAGGAAAGTCGGGACGGTCCGTGTGGTAGGTGAGGCTCCAGCCCAGGCTCAGGCCTCCTGTGGAGCCCCAGGACTCTCCTGAGCAGGCAGGACGGATGCTCCTCTCTCACAGCCCAGCCTGGGGCTCCCATCGGGCTTCTCCTGGGTGAGGTTGGCCCCAGAGCCCACCTTGACTTAATGAGCCAGCACTGAGGAAGAAGGGGCTTGTCTCTTCAGTAGCTGCTCTTCAGAGAAGGCGTCCTGTATTTGCTGGAATGTTCTCCCTCCTTGGCCCTCCGCATCTTCCCTCTGCTAGCCATAGGTGCCCCATACCTGTGTTTGTCTGCATGTGGGACACGTGCTTTAGGAGGGCTGGAGACACTGTCATCGGAGCTTGGGAGGAGAGGCCGGAGGACACTTTAGCCAGGTGTGTCCCGAGGGGATTCCACCTCCTGTATGGGCCCGGGGGGAACTAATGATCACTCTGCTGTCCCTCCCTTTTCCCTGAGATCTAGGTCAAGAGGCAGATGAGATTCCCCTGACCTCCCCTACCCTCCAGAGAGAGACAAATTTACCTCCTTCCAGGAGATCCCCGGGATCAGAGGGAGGAAGTTAGGGAGGGCAGGCTAGTACCACTCGGCTGGAGAGGCAATAAGCCATTTTCCAGCCTGTTCTAAATGGAAGGCCTGGCTACCGGCCAGACCACTAGCATATGTTGGAACCCCTCCCTGGAGACTGGAGAGACTCGGCCGTCGTCTGTGCTGCCACCTGATTCCCTGCAGACAAGTGCTCCTCTCCTTCTTCAGGAGCATGACCTTCTTCCATCATTAGCAGTGGTATCATTAATAATTATTATCCTTGCTGTTGTCATCTATCGTGCATCTTCCTTGTGCTGTGCTCTGTTCATATCCCATTTACTTCTCCACTCACCCCTCGGAGGCAGAAGTGCGGTGCGGAGAGGTGCACGTTAATTATTGTCCCATTTTTCTGTTGAGAAAACTGAGGCCGGGCCAACGGGCCTGAGAACCCACATCTAGAGAGCTGGGATTCGGATCCACCTCTGCTGGCCCTCCAGCCTGGATGGCTACCCTGCGTCTCCCTGCGCGCACACTCTCCACGGTGAGCCCTCTGGAACGGACCGCCCCAGGAGCAGGCACTCAAGCTGGGGCTGTTTGGGTCCTGGATCGCGGAGTTGAAGTGTAGGTCCTGGAAGGGGGCCGGAGCAGTGCACACGGGTTTAGCAGTCTGAGAACCTCACAGCGGTAAAGAGGCGTTAGAGAGCTTCCAATCAGGACCTGTAATGTTGGGGAGGGCAAAGGGGGCCTCACGGAAAAGGAAAGGAGAGCTGGCAAGTCTCCGGCTGCCTGGTCCAGAACATCATGTCCCAGCCTGCCGTGCCGTCACCGGGAGAACGGGGATGGCCCTGGATTCCCAGCACCAGCCGCGGGATGGGCATCGCGCTCCCTTCCAGCTGTCACCCGGCCCCCTGCACCGTGTCCTGGCACCTGCCCGTTGAGCATCCGCAGAGCGAGTCCTAGGTGGGCTGGGCTGCCCTGACGGGACAACCAAGAGGCTGTGCTCAGGGGGCCAAAGGCAGCAGTCAGAGCCTGAGTGCCTTGTAGTGGCCTGCCCCACGGGCCCCTGGCCTCTGTCATCAGTGACAAGGACACAAGACAGGCTGGCTGAGCTGAGGGCTGAGAGCCCCGAGGGATGGAAGTTCGTCATCTCCAAGCGGAAAAAAGGAGCCTCTCCGA